CCATCTTGCCTTAGTGATACTTCCGCAAATCGTTATACCTTCCATGGATCGACGGCTCATTTCGTAGAACACGATGATAGATACGGAGGCCGTCAAGTTCTCTTTTCATCGGTGAATATCACCCTTCGCCATTTCTTGTTCACATTGTTTGTGAAAACCTTGTAATTTTATTTTCTACGTTTAATTTAAAGTTATTATTTAATAAAATATCATTGTATATAATTATTTTAATATATTTATATTTAATAATAAATTTTAGATTATATTATATTAATTTAAATAGCTTATAATAATAGAGCATAATATTAAAAATATCAATGAAATTGAAAATTTTTAAATATAATTAATAAAAATTTCTTTATATTGAAAATATCATGTTTTAAATAAACTACATATTTAGAAATAAAGATATTTATATCTAATTATAAAGTTAGAAGCTTTAATTTTTTATTTCAGTAAATTAGAATTTTATTCAATAATTTTATTAACAATTCCTTAAGTCAAAGACATCTGAAGGTCATAATATAGTAGGTCGTTGAATTTGTTTTTCCAGAAGCAACAATCCTACGAAGTCAAAAATACACGGTGCCATTTAAAAAAAAATTGGTGTTAACCTTGATTTTTTATCAGAGAAAAATAGTTTTTGGAATTTTTTACTGTACTTTGTAGCCAACTAGAAACTGATTAATTTTTGTTCAAAACATTTTTTTGTCACACAATCAGAAGTGCCTGAAAAATCGTGGCGACAATTATATGCCACACTCTGTATATATTAATTTAGACATATGTGTATATATATATTTAAACATATATATATATATTTTAATTTATATATATATAAATTTTCTTTTAATTTATTATATATTTATTTATATTAATTTATTAATATAAATAATAATATTTTAATTTATTATATGTTTTATTATATATTATAATGTCTTTTAATTATATATATATTTATTATATATATATATATATATATATATATATATATAATGTCTTTTAATTTATATATATATGTCTAAATTAACGTCGTTACACCGTTTGAAATAATCTGGAGGACCAAAGGAACAAAGAGGACGGTTTCCTCCACACGGTTGCCCTGAATCCATTTCTTTTTTCCCCCGACCTTTCGCGGAAGTGCAGAATTCTCTTGTGTCGACCTGGACGGCACAAAGAGCGGCCGTTGTGGCCAATCGGCGGCGAGCCGGGTGTCTCGTGCTAAATGTAAAGTCGGTTCGCTCGTTGCTGCCACTACCTAGAGCAGATGAGCGTTAATTGGTGTTAATTGGTGGCTCGCTTGGGGCCCGTCGTTCCCACGCCCGCGACTTTCATGCTCGCCTTTTTTTTCTTTTTTCCTTTTTTTCTTCCTTTTTTTTCCCCCCTCACACCTCGTACGCATATTCTAATTCGTCGTCCGTCGCCCGTTCATTTCCACACGTCCAGGCGGTTCTTTGTGCCCAGTTCGTAGCTCGCGAACCGTCCGACGTTTCGCTCTCATTGTCCGGCCTGTCTTTTAATCGATGTGAGTCAGCGCGTGGATATTACGATCAGATAAAATTTCTATTATTCTGACATTTTCGTGACGTGCAGATCGGAACGTTCTTTCTCTCTCTCTGTCTCTCTCTTTCTACTGGGACAACTGATGGAAGAGGGAACGAATTTCGAAACGAAAAAAAAGAAAAAAGGAGAACGAGATTCCGATCGATGGTGAATAGAAAATGACAGATATCCGAGCTGTTCTCCAACCGAGATGGATCGGTCGCTCAAGGCCGTTTTCGGAATTATACCGCGCCGCACTTCGCTCGGCTACTCCATCATTCTGTCCTTTTGTTTTTCTTTTTTTTTTTTTTCTTTTTTTTCTTTGCTTTTAGCGCTTGTTCAGGGTTCTATCTCTCCCTGTGCCGAAGGTGTTTTTTAAACGATCGTTTCAAGGGCTATTAATTTCGGGGTAATAACTCGAGCAACGTCTCGTCTCAGATTATACAGTCGAGTTAGTCGAACAACTTGACGTTCCGAGACGGTTTGACTAATAAGGGAAAGGTTTGGGAACTTGGAGCCAAGTAAATGACAGATTCACGCTCGCTAACTTGGCTAACTTGAACCAGGTTTCAGATATAATATCGGACGTTCTTCTTTAAAACTGGAATTTACTATAAAAGAAATGATTAATAAATAGGTTGCAGCGATTTCAATCTGTCTTTCCTCGTTTGCGTCTAAATTTCATTAAAATTCCAAACTACAAAAGTGTGTTTTTTATCAACCTCGGGTTAATCGAGAAAAAGAAACGATGCCAATCATCACAATCAGATGATTTCAATATCTTCCAAATTACAATAATTCTAAACTAGAAAAGTGTGCCTTTTGTCAGCTTATTTACTTGCATTAATCTAGAAAAAGAATGCCACGATCAGATGATTTCAATATCTTCTAAATTACAATAATTCCAAACTAGAAAAGTGTATTTTTTATTAGCTTATTTACGTGCATTAATCTAAAAAAAGAATTCCACGATCAGATAATTTCAATATCTTCCAAATTACAATAATTCCAAACTAGAAAAGTGATCGTTTTGTAAGCTTATTTACTTGTATTAATCTAGAAAAAGAATGCCACGATCAGATGATTTCAATATCTTCCAAATTACAATAATTCTAAACTAGAAAAGTGTACTTTTTTATCAGCTTATTTACTTGCATAAATCTAGAAAAAGAATGCCACGATTAGATGATTTCAATATCATTAAAAAAAAAAAAAAAACTCGCGTAAACGTGCAGTCAATCTCCGTTTTAAACCACACTTTCACCCAATCGTGGCCGATCGATCGACAAAAAAGTGAAACCAGCCTCGAGAATTCGCCCCAAAGGTCTGAACTCTCGTGGGTGACTGAAAATCACTGGGAATCACCGTCGAACAGGTTCCACCGATCGATTCCATTCCAAATCGGTCGAGCGGTGGCAAAAACCGCGCGGAGTTTCCAACGGTGGAAGTGTCGACGCCGCTTTAGGAAGCGATTTGTCGGCAAGAAAGGCGCGCGACATTAGCCGCGTTATCTAAGTATTTGGGTTGCCAGCGGGGTAGAATGTTTTCGCTAATTTGCCGATCGACAGTTCAGTCACGATCGTGCGGTTAGCTTGTTCATATCGAACGAGCCGTGGACGGGAAAGGAATCGATCAACGAACGGTTCCCACCGTGCGCCGTGACGCTTCTTTCGAGACGTGGAGCCCCTGCGACGACGTTGCCACGGTCCACCACCGTGATTCGCTGAATGAAAATTAGAAAGAAAATTAGATCGTCGAAAAATGCACGGAGGAATATCTATTATTTAGCGTCGTCCCAATTCGTTATCCTCGAGGCGATGGCAGCTTATTTTTCACTTTCCACCGCTTCCATCGAGTCGCCCCCCCATCGGGTCGTCGTGTCTGAACGATCACGCGAAACACCTGCGGTTCGTAATTAAAAAGTCGAGCGAAGGACTCGTCCCGTCTTTCATTGTCTACCAGCCGAGGATCCAACCGAGTTCATTAAACCAGGCGCACACTGGCGAGCGGAGCACACGCGAGATCGTCGATGCGCTTGATCCTCTTCTTTTCTTTTCTTTTCTTTCTCCGCGAGAGACCGGTTCCATCGGGAATACTTCCAGCTTTCTATCGTACAACCCGGCGGCCCCCGTGGACACCCCTTTGGGATCCGTTGGCTGGCTGGCTGGCTTTACCGCTGCTGCCGTGGCTGTTGCCGTTTCTGGTCTCCGCAGCAGCCTCCCGAACGAGCAGATAGCCGCTGTCTTCCGCGACGGCGCGATTGGAATTTATTTATTGCATTAGCCGACCGTCACTCACGGGCCTTGATTGGTGGTACCAATCAGGTACGGTCGTTGGAGGAGAGACGTAACGTTGCATCGGGACGATCGAGCCGACCAACTCACGCAAACTCTCTCTCTCTCTCTCTCTCTCTTTCTCCTTGCCGCCGCTGTAATTATTCTGATTCGTGGCGAGACGTTGAACACAGGTGAAAAATACGGCCGAGGCTCTGATTACAACGGGGCATCGGTAATTATCGGAGACGCGCGGTGGCCACCTTTCGATCGGGACAGATTTTGTTTCACTTCCTCCTGGTTCTGTTCGCTTCGCCGGTGGTCGAACGGGCGTCGCGTCCGCTCGAGCAGCTTGGCTACTTTTTCTGCCGGATTATCGATGAACTTCGATAGGTGTCTCGCTGTATGGTGAAGAGATGATTGAACGTTGCGTTTAATCTCTCGTTGATGCTCAACGTTCGATTGGCTTACGATTCGACGCCAATCAAACGATATTGATGGACCGTACGATCGAACGTACACCGTGTATGTATGTACGTACGTGTGCACGGCTGCGCGAATCGATCGGAGAGATCGGTGATCGTGTGCTCGAAGAAAAACGCGTTCCGGAAATAGCGGAGTTAAATTCACCTTTGAGACTTTTCGAGTGAGAATTATTTCGATCTCGAGATGGTAAACGACAGGGTGTAGAAAATTGATATAATCTTATCGTGAGGCGTAACACGGGAGACGACCGAGGGTCAGGGAGCCCTATGTAAATTTGCAAAAGTTCATCTCGAAAGGTTCCACTTAGGGGCCACGCTGGAATTATTCGAGCTGGCCAGGGGTTAATTGCCGGCTTCATGAAACCATCTCTCCTCCTCCTCCTCCTCCTCCTCCTTCTCCTCCTCCTTCGAGGTGGCCCTAGACGCGCGGTGACGTCACCTTTCCGTATTCGATTCGCGCTCGCCGGAAACGCGACTGCGTATTCTTCAACTTTACGCTGGACGTGACTCGATACTCTCGAGTCGCGCAGCAATAAAAAGAAAAAAAACGAGAAAGTGGAACAAAGCGAGGAGAATGTTTTTTTTTTTTATCTTAAGCTCGTTGTTAAGAGGTCTGGGAAAATTGGCCGACGTTAGCGTAGGTAGAGGAAAGAAAGAAGAAAGAACTCGCTCGTTATCGAGGATTTTTCTTGGTTCGCAGAGGCAATTCACGCTGATCCTGCAAGCGAGAGACGAGGCGAACACAGGCGTGATCGAGGAAGCGAGTTTCAGCGGCATTGTCCTGCCAGGGCCCACGTGGCACACTCTCAATCATGAAGGAAGAAACGCTCATCTAGCTTATCGCGTTCGGGTCCAGTGCGCGGACCATTATTACAACGCGACCTGCACGAAGTTCTGCAGGCCGAGGAACGATATATTCGGCCATTACACCTGCGACGAGAACGGCGATAAGGTGTGCATACAGGGGTGGAAAGGCGCCGATTGTGAAATAGGTGAGTCGATCTTTACGTCTCCTTTCAATTTACTAACGCTGCGTTAAAAAAAAAAAAAGGAAAACGATCTTGTAAAAAATACTTGCAAAAAAAGAAATCCCGTCTTAAGACCTTTGACTCAGCGTCTAGATCAGTGACGGCGAATCTTTTTGAGAAGTAGGTCAAATTTTGTTCATTATTTCTTTTAGTACTAGCTCGTGGGTCACTAAGTCGGTGGCGTCACTTGGAAAGGGGGAGGTGAGGATGGTTACAAACTACTTTTTTTTCGGTTCTCACTTTTACAATCCTCTAAAAAGGTTTACGTTTCCTTTTTGTTTCACAACTTTTACTTTTGCAAGTGAAGAGCAAAAAATAAATGTCGACGTCGAAAAATTGATACAAAAGCGGTGACATCGTGCCCAGTCACCCCTGAACTATACATTAGATAAATATACTTTATTTCTTAAGATTTTTTATTGTCTGTCCTCTCTTTTATTATATAAAAAATTAGCAAAGCTACCCATTCTGAGAATGGGATCTAGCGTGTTTTTTAGTGTTTATTACATCTGTTTAATCGTAAGCGCTATATAAAATTTTTTAGACACAAGTGACTCTAATATAACATTTAAGACTTGAAATACCTATATGTATACGTAACCAAGTCGTAAATCCTCCATAAAACACAATTATGCATTTATTTCTCACTTTTAACCTCTAACCAAACACTTGTAATTTTCCTCACATTTTTTGAAAAGAGGGATTAGAAAAATAATTAAAATTCTTTCATGTATATGATGACAAGTTTATAAAAATCAGCGCGTGGGTCATTTAAAAAGCCTGCCGCACACTTGTAATTGCCATTTAAAAAAGTCTAACCAAACACTTGTAATTTTCCTCACATTTTTTGAAAAGAGGGGTTCGAAAAATAATTAAAATTCTTTCATGTATATGATGACAAGTTTATAAAAATCAACGCGTGGGTCATTTAAAAAGCCTGCCGAACACTTGTAATTGCCATTTAAAAAAGTCTAACCGAACACTTGTAATTTTCTTCACATTTTTTGAAAACAGGGGTTCGAAAAATAATTAAAATTCTTTCATGTATATGATGACAAGTTTATAAAAATCAACGCGTGGGTCATTTAAAAAGCCTGCCGAACACTTGTAATTGCCATTTAAAAAAGTCTAACCGAACACTTGTAATTTTCTTCACATTTTTTGAAAACAGGGGTTCGAAAAATAATTAAAATTCTTTCATGTATATGATGACAAGTTTATAAAAATCAACGCGTGGGTCATTTAAAAAGCCTGCCGAACACTTGTAATTGCCATTTAAAAAAGTCTAACCGAACACTTGTAATTTTCTTCACATTTTTTGAAAACAGGGGTTCGAAAAATAATTAAAATTCTTTCATGTATATGATGACAAGTTTATAAAAATCAACGCGTGGGTCATTTAAAAAGCCTGCCGAACACTTATAATTGTCATTTAAAAAGTCTAACCGAACACTTGTAATTTTCTTCACATTTTTTGATAAGATGGGTTTCGAAAAATAATTAAAATTCTTTCAAAAGCCTGCGTGGGTCAGTGTCTGACCCGCGGTTCATAGGTTCGCCATCATTGGTCTAGACCATTTTCAGAATCACTGAACGTTTTTCTTCAATTTCGAACGATTGACGGAACAACGTACTTGATATTGGCTCATTTGTAACCTCTCAAATTTAATCCTAACAACTCCATTGCTGTTAGCCTTTTCTTCGTAACTTTAACTACTAGGCAATCATCGAGTAATTAAACGGAGGCCTGGAATGTTAATTCGCTTAGAAGGATACCGTTCGTAACTGTTTTTGAATAAGCGTTTCAAGATTCCCATAAATGTCCATGTACGAGGATTTTACCGAGAGGGGACCAATGTCCGGAAGATTTTCGCTTTCTCTTGACGGGTTTGACAAGCACGCTGGGAAACGTGTGTGCAATTGCACGGCCCGTTGGACAGACATTTACAGCCTTCCAGTGGGAGGCGTAATTGTTTTTCGATTTTCGAATCACATCGCGCGTCGAGGACGGTCTCCTCGGCTTGTATTTATTGCAGAGTGGCAGCGAAGCGTACGTGTCTAATTAATCAAATGTACTGGCACTCGAGGAAGCCGAGAAGGGAAGCTGCTTAGCTCAGAGTCGCGTCGCTCGATCTCCGATTCAACGGCTCTGTCCGGCTTTGTTCTTCGAAAGAAGAAATCGTTCTTAACCGTTAGAAATAATTATTACCGTGTATCAGGATCTAAAGTCTAATCGAATGCAGCTTTCCAGGTAAAGGGAGGAAGAAAATCTATGTAAATGTTTGTTAAGAGAAAATTACAATTTACTAGTGTACGACGATATGTTAAGTGATGTTTTTATTGACCGAGCCGATCTAACACTGATTTGAGAAAAAATATAATTGTCATCGCACTATGAATTGTGACGCAACTATGAATATTTATTAATATTCCCGAGAACGATAAATCCTACATGAATACAATTAAATACAATAAAACATTAATTAATAATTAAACATCAATTAAAACAAAATTAAATACAATAAAATATAATTTTTTGATCGATTTTTGGTAATCTCCTTGTTGGGTCAAAGACCCTGTCACGAGTCTTTTTTATGAGCCTGAAGATCTAGAATGTTTAGAAGACACAAACTTCAAGGTGTTCCGTGAGCTGTTCTCGATCAAATTATCATTCTAAATCCTTCGTTCTGAATAGCTCTCAACTTTTGTTACATTATTAAGAGGCACGAAGGCTCGATTGAAGAGATGAAACGCTCGGTGAAAAATTTTCTACGAAATTAAATTAATGGAGCTAACGTAAACGCGACTGTATAGTCGGAGAGGCAGCGGTCCGTGAGAAAAGCGAGTCGCGCGAGCGCCTGGGGACGCGAGATTTCACGCTTCGAGGATCGATTAATTATTCTCTTAGCTAGACGTGGCGGGCAAAAAAACGTCGGGGGAATCGTTTAACTCGCTTCGTTGCATACGTCAGCTCGACACGGCTTAAGAGCGCATTTACGCCACGCGATTTTTCCCAGCACGCCGATTTTTTCCACGAGCGTAATCTACTTTTTCGTCTCCCTCCCTCGTCCCCCTTCGCAAGATCGTGTGTCGTTCCGCTCGACCAGCACCGACACATTCGCCTCCTTTTGTCTGACTTTAATGCTTCCGGTAATGAAGATTGTCCGATAATTTAACGAACCGGAGTCACGAAGACACGTTGCTTTAACGACGATGGAAAAAGCCGATCAATTGTTCCGCGGTTCGATCCGCTTCGAGCGGCATCGTTTCGTGGATGATTTATCGCTCTACGATTTCACACGAACGAAATCAATTATTCGTCAATTGAAACCTCGCTTTCGAACGCAGACACCTCGCTGTTGGTCAATTGCGTGTCGTAATAAAAAGAATTCACCCTCACAGACTGACATCACGAACCTCTACTCGGGATGTTCATTTGATTTTCGAAGAATGAACGGGGGTATTCTGGTAATCCGACTTGACAAAATCGACTTCTTTGAGATTTCTTTCCAAGGAGATCTCCCGTTCAGCCATTTCAAAAATTATGGATTTGAGAAAAACACGTTTGAAGTTTCTGTTACCCGTTGTGCAAAAATATTCATGCTTACAATCAATCGAGCAGTATAAAAAATAAAATATTATAAAATAATAATAATACAAAAATAAATAATAAAATATTATAATATATAAATATTATAATTATAAATATTAAAATATTATAAAATAATAATACAAAAATAAATAATAATATAAATAATAATATAATAAAATAAAATATTTTTTGAGAAAAACACACTTGAAGTTTTTGTTACCCGTTGTACAAAAATATTCATACTTGCAATCAATCGAGCAATACAAAAAATAAAATATCATAAAATAATAATAATAATAGAAAAATAAATAATAATATAAATAATAATATTATGAAATAAAATACTTTTTGAGAAGAACACACTTGAAGTTTTTGTCACCCGTTGTACAAAAATATTCATACTTGCAATCAATCGAGCAGTACAAAAAATAAAATATCATAAAATAATAATAATACAAAAATAAATAATAATATAAATAATAATATTGTGAAATAAAATACTTTTTGAGAAGAACACACTTGAAGTTTTTGTCACCCGTTGTACAAAAATATTCATACTTACGTCGCGAGCGGTACACCGTTTCCTTTAAACATCTATAACTCTGCTAATTTTACGAATTCAAACAAATCCTTTTACACAGGCATTCTCGAAAGCATATACTTTGAGAAAATGTCTAAAAAAAGAAAATCGATTTTTTTTTTAAGCCGGATTACCAGAATTACTACCTTAACGCTCCTTAATCAACGTATCCTGAAGAAACGGAGAAATGAAAAGAAACTTTCAATTGATCTCAACTCGTCATCATGCTCCATTATTTCCAAGTGTCAGCTCTTAAGATCCAAAGTAAAATGAAAAGTCGAACAAAGCTTTCGAAAGAAAAGAGGAGCTAGAAGCTAGAAGCGAGAAGAACATTCGCCGCTGCACGTGGAGCTTTTTTGCCGAGACGGAAAGCGCGAGTCTCGCGAGTGTCTGATAGGCAAAGACGCAAACACACGCGAATTATCTCGAAGCGTGCCTCAATGGGCGGGACGTTAGACGCATGATCGTACGATCGTATAAAGGTAGCGGGGGGCAGCATCACGCCAGATCCCCTCGCACAATGCTGCCCGGGCCAGCTCTTTCTTCGCTGCTTAATCGTTACTTCCGCCACCCCTCCCACGAGAGCGTAATTTTCGAAAGGCTACGCGAACGCTTGAATCATCCTCGAATGTGGCATTGTTCGAGAAGAGCGCACCGGCGACCTAACGACTCCTGAAAGTCACCGGACAGTGGAAATTGGATTTTCTGTTTTTTTCAATCATCTACGAGAATAACCATAGATTCCTCTGCGTTCTTTTAAATTTACATTTCATTTCATTTCCTCTGCGTTAT